TATCAAATAAAATAAAATAAATGCAATATGTTTAAAGAATATGTTACCCTAACATTTCATATTCCTGATACTGTATGTGTCTGCTGTACCATGTACTTATGGCAAAAAGTATCCTGTTCTGTTTGTATTGCTTCTTGAAATCCCTGGTGTTCCTGCCAGTCCCTCTGCTTTCATATTTAAAACTGACCACACTAGGCATGAGAACCCATCTATCTTGGGCTCCATGCACACTAGTGTTTTTTTTATAGACAATAAAATAGTTGATAATTGCGTTTTTTGTGCTGGCTTGTAGTAGCATTTTAGTAGCATTTAGGTGCATTAGTGTTTTTTATTAGAGTTTTTACAGTACATGTAGGAAAAAAAGCTGTTAGGAGCATTTTAGTAGCGTTTAACATTTCAGCATCTTTTTCTGCTAGAAAAATGCTCCCACAAACTTTACAAAAACAATTTCTTTCTGATCCTAAATGTTGAAATGTGAAAAACGCTGCTAGCCTAAAATAGTGTGCATGACACAAAGGATAACACATTTAACTTCTAGGAGCAGGAAAAAAAAAAAAAGCTGATAGCTTCTAGGAGCTTAAAAAAACACTAGTGTGCACTGAGCCTGCCCATACAGCAGCTTGTGCTATTTGTCTCTCCCCCTCCTCCATTGTAGGACTGTGCAGCAGAGTTGAAGGAAAGATATAGTGGCTAAATGGTGGGCAACAGTGACTAAATGGTTAGCACTTCCTCCTGGCAGTACTAGGGTCATCACTTTGAAACTCAAACACAGAACCACCTGCCTGGAGTTTGTATGTTCATCCCTGTGCCTGTGTGGGTTTTCTCTGGGTACTCTGGTTTCCTCCCACACTCCAAAGACATGCTGGTAGGTGAATTGGCTCCTGTCTAAATTGGCCCTAGAATGTGTATGTATGAATGTGAGTTAGGGACCTTAGATTGTACACCCCTTGAGGGTTAGGGACTGATGTGACTGTATAATATATATGTAAAGCGCTGCATATAGGTACCTATAATAAATAATAGATAAATATAGGAGGACCCTCACTGGCCACCGCTGGAACCAAAGCCCGACACTTTGCAAAGGCTGGGCAGTATGGGTGCAGAGGCTGCTGGAGAGTGTAGTTCCCCATGCTTTTCATGGCCCAGGAGTATAAGGGAAAGAGAAACTACATATCTATGGGTACCCAAGGGTTGACCTTGGGAGGAAGTATAGAGGTCTGTGAGCAAATGCCAGGAAAATAAACAGCAAGATGGCTGCAGGGAGGAACAGTTTTGTGGCTGCAGGTGTCCAGACAGTACAGGTCTGTGTAGAGGAGTGCTGCTCAGAGATTGCCACTGGGTCCTGTGTCCCACTAGCTGTGTGAGGACTAAGCTGGTGAGAGCCCATTCTGGAGACAAATGTACCACATGTTGGGGGCTGTGTTTAGAAGGACTACTCTGCATCTCTGCCTTTGAAAGTGAGAGAGTTGCCAGAGAGCTGGTGCCTATGTGCAGAGGGCCTGTTTAAGACTACCCTGCTTTTCCTGATCTCTTGAGATAGAAGACTGATGTTCCTGACTCTTCACAATAGGACTGACTAATGCTGCTGCCGAATGCTTGCTTGATATTGAGGCCTTGAGTGGGGCTTGAGGACCAGTGGACCAACATCTGTGGTATGAGACCTCCAGGCCATCTACAGTCTTTGCCTGCCTGGGTTAGACTGTGCTTTCCCTTTTTTATTGGGAACAACTTTTTTTCCTGATCTTAGGGTTAGAGGTCTATCTGTGAGGAGCATTCTCCCCAGAAAGGTCCCCAGACAGACTCAGAGGTAATTGGATGTAAATAGATGCATGACCGTTTACATCGTTTTGCCCATGTCTATGCAAGTCGCACCTGAAATCACAAAAAAATACTGCAGTAACCTTTTTTTCAAATCGGTGCAGCAGCACAAAGGGAAGTTGCACCAATTTGAACAGTTCCATTGCGGACAATAGGGTGTGATTTTTCATGCGATTTGACGATTTCAAATTGCATGGCAAGTCCAAGCGGTATCAACCAAGGCTATTTCCAATCAGATCCTCCTGATAAACTAACAGTTGGATCTAATGGAACTGCTCGTATATAAGAACCCTTAATTAGGCCAGGTAATAATTTATTAATAATAGTTATTCAGTTATGTTACATGGTGTGCTGTGTTTATTGTTTGGAATGCAACAGCATGTACTATATACAGTATTGTGTGTTAATATCACTTGACCAGTAGATGGCACTGTACACTAAGGTTACCAGTTATGCATATCTGAAAAACTTGTTGGTTCTCTCTCTTCTCTCGCTCTCTTTATAACCAAGATGTCTGCTGTTACAGGTTGCTGAAATGTTTTGTATGTTTGCAACTTAAGCCACACAAGCAAACCAAGTTCTGCCTCATCACAAGCTACTAGTGTCTTCTCTAACACATAACCAACATTTATAATTACGGTGTAGTGTCTCTTTAGGATTTTAAAATGATCATAGGATTTTAAAATTACCATACACATCTTTATGCACACTTCTTATACCTAGAAGTCTTGCCACCATCTGCCACCATCATAAAGTAATTTACAAAGAGTGCTACATAAGATTGCATCCAAAATTCAAAAACACCATTTCAAATTCTGCAGGAACATATCGAAAAACTTGTGTGCATGATCCCATTAAACTGGTAACCCCTGAATTGAATGCTTGTGCCAGAATTAATTGTACAGTTTTTTTTTCAAGACAGGATTTCAGACTTCACGGTCTGCATGCTTGTTCTAGGTCAGCGTGTCATTAGATAATGAAGCCACGATTGAGATGACAGCAATGGAGGCTTCTATATTTTTATCCTCTGATAAAGAGATGTAAGCTGAATTACGCAGCAGAGGCTAATGTGTTATTATAATCTGGAGCCTCATATCCATCCATTGCAACTCTTAAACTTGGTATACACGTGCAGTTTTTTTTTTTGTTAAACCAGTGAGTTGAATGAAGAAAAAAGTGTCAGATCCCTGCATCAACACAAATGATGTGTGATGCAGGGATTTCCCCTGCCATGCTATTGTATTCTGATAGGGTGGACCATTGGCTGCAAGCACTGGTTGAATGCTGGTTTTCCAGCATGACCATTTGACAGAAGCCGGTTGTTAAATCAGCTTCCATTGAACAAACATTGGTACACATGGACCGAAAGCTGTCTGGTTCCTCCTGAACCAACTGATTTTTGGAGCATGTATATCGTGCTTTAGCATGAAAATGCATGTTGCCTGGCCGTGCAGAGCTTAGGGGGACCCATCAAATTCAGTGTACCTTAAGGGGAAGAGCAATACACATGTATGATATGCAAGTATTTTACAGCCAACCAACCTTGCATAGACAAACTAACAGATGCACTTTAACAGTGGTCTCTGGAGCTTTGTATGGTTACTGCCAGTGAAGAAAAATACCCGATGCTTAAAGGTTTCAGGATCATGTGATCTGCTCCCCTTCCCCCTATGAGACAATGCTAGTGATTGGCAATTGGCTGCTCAGGCCCCCACCACTGTGACACGGGGGAATGTGAAAAAAAGTTCTCAGCCCTGATAATTTGGAGCTTACATAGATGGGAATAAAGGCAAGGTAGATGTAAGCATTGCTTTCATCAAAAGCTTAATGGGCCACCATTAAAATGAACCTGTTGCTTTGTTCTGCATGGAAAAAAGCACAGGTTTGCTTTAAGCTCCATAACAATTGTTCACATTTTTTTACTTATTGAGAATTCACTTTACTACAGCCAAAGCAGTTCAAGAAGAATTTTGATTGGATGCTAATGGACTGTACTATGGACTTACTGTCTTTCTGCACACAATATTTTCATGAACAAGGCCTAAAGTACCCCAGGTCCTTTCATGAATGTTCATTCATGTAAAGCATATTTTTGACATTTTATAGAGAACACTCTATAACATCAAATAAATGAAGTCTTCTGATGGCTTTTTTTTTATTACATTCTCAGGTGCATAAATGGTTCTTCCTCTGGACTTTGCATACACTTATAAAAAAATTGTCTCCCTACACAATGACAAATATACAACAGTTACCTTCAGATGCAGCCTGAAATATATAAATGGGGAGCTACACACTGTTGGTGACCTGGATAAGTTTTTACATTGATCATTAATAATGTGGAATACAGAAAAGGTGAGTTGGTGCAAAGACACATGAATTGAAATCTTCATAGGTGTTCTCCATTCAAACTCCAAAGTATTTTTTTTTTTCGAGGGAAGTAAGAGGTGCCTGACATTTTGTTGGGAATTTTTCTTGGCCCCCCCATTCCAGACATGCGTTGTTCACAGTCCAATCCCACACCAACCATGTTAGGGTCAAGTAAACAATGTATGCTGTGTAAACTGACACATGCTCTACTGAGCAGTAGAATCAGGCAAATGAAGCCTATGTGTTCTGGTGAATGCAGGGACATGTGGAACACATTGACCCTAGATTCAACAAACCTTCTTAACCTCCCTAGTGGTCTGATTATGTCCATATTTCTGTGCTCAAAGCAGTACATTTTTTTGCATGGAAATATGTTTTTTTTTTATTGTAGGCCTGTAATTTTTAGGAATAACTCACTGAAATCTATCCGAACAAGAGTCTAGTAAACATCCCGGGTAGGTTAAAATTTGAAACACGAAATCATAAATTACAATTTAATAAATAATCATAAAAAAATAATAATATAATAATAAATTTAATTCAATAATATAATCAAACCAAAAACACTGAAATTTGAAATATAGCGCCAAGTTCGCACATCTGAGCTCAGTCGCGGAATAGTTTTCAGTGTCTGATGACGAATGTCCCCACAAATCATTATCACTCAATTCTGCAAGTAGTTCTAATTTACGATCGCTGTTCTCTAGCTGGTCTAAAACCGATTTTGACCTAAAGGGACGCTTTTTGAATGCCATGGACAGAAAGAACAGTAAAAATGTAGGCAGGGCACAGGACAAAGCACCCGGGACAAAATGTATGTGAAATGGTTTGATACAGTAATGTTTTTCTATGTATTTTTACTGAATGTCACTTTTTGTCATTTTCATATTTCCCTCCGTACGTCCCGGCGTCGCAGGGGATGGAACCCAGAAGACAGATGCTGGCATCCGCCGGAGGACATTACAGGGGACACTGCAGGAGGGACATCGCGGGAGCGCAGGACAAGGTAAGAGAAGAACAGATCCCGGAGCAGCGCCGCAGGGTATTCCCGAGTGTAGCTCAGGGTTACCGTGTGTGGTACTGAAACTTTACCCCGAGCTACACTCGGGAATACTGCCAGGGAGGCTACAGTGTTAATCTGTCATTTTGTTATAAACTAACATGCCAGGGAAGTTTTAGTACCACACATTTGAAAATCTGGTTCATCTTCACATCGTTTGTCAGCTCTATGGAGCATTGCCAAGAGAAAGATGAGAGACATGAGACCGAACAATGCAGAAGAGCTGAAGGCCGCTATTGAAGCATCCTGGTCTTCCATAACACCTCAGCAGTGCCACAGGCTGATAGCTTCCATGCCACACCGCATTGAGGCAGTGCAAAAGGGGCCCAAACCAAGTACTGAGTACATATGCATGCTTATACTTTTCAGAGGTCCGACATATTGTTCTATGTACAATCCTTGTTTTATTGATTGCATGTAATATTCTAATTTTCTGAGATTGTGGATTTGGGGTTTTCATGAGCTGTAAACCATAATCATCAGAATTATGACAAATCACGGCTTGAACTATCTGGCTTTGCATGTAATGAGTCTATCTCATATGTTAGTTTCACCTTTTAAGTTGCATTACTGAAATAAATGAACTTTTGCACATATTCTAATTTTTCGAGTTTCACCTGTAAGGATGGATAAGCTGTAATATATTATAGTTTTGTGCTGAGTTTAGATATACTTTGATTATTTCTCTGATTTTCTATTCTTGCTGTAGCCATTAATAAAATATGGAACACAGGAATCAAAACATTAACCTTTTTCATTCTAAAATTTCGAATGTTCCAGACTTACAAGCACCAATATTTCTGATGGTTTTGCTCATTTATCTAGCAACACTGGCTGGCAACATGACTATTCTGATAGTGATCTTTTTGGATCATCAGCTTCAAACTCCGATGTACTTCTTCTTAAGTAACCTGTCTTTCCTTGACATATGTTATTCCACAGATACACTCAGTGGGGTTCTGCTTACCTACATTATGGGGAACCACCAGATTTCACAGCCATTATGTATGTTACAGCTTTACTGCTTCATGTCTTTTGTGGGCATAGAGCTGTTGTTATTGACAGCAATGAGCTATGACAGCTATGTAGCTATTTGTAATCCCTTACGATACACAATGGTGATGAAGAGTGGTGTCTACATTTCCTTGGCCATACTTTGTTGGATCGTTGGCTTCGTGGAGACAGTTCCCTATATTTCCATATTCGCTCATTTTTCCTGTTTCAAGACCAATGTCATCAACCATTTCTTCTGTGACCTCAGAGCCCTTATGGACATTTCATGCAGCAACATATTTTTACTAAAGACTGTGATTGTGTATGAGTCCATATTCTCAGGTTTTGTTCCATTTCTCCTCACTTTCATGTCGTATATTTATATAATCAGAGCAATACTTGCAATTCATTCAAGACAAGGGAGGCACAAAGCCTTCTACACCTGTGCCTCACACCTTATGGTGGTAATGCTTTTCTACATGACTTTGTTTTGCTTGTACTTGAATCCTACTTCATCATCTCAGGATTTGGAGAAAGTAAGCTCATTGCTGTACACCGGCGTGGTTCCCATGCTCAATCCACTCATATATACCTTGAAAAATAAAAGTGTGAAGCTGGCTTTAAGGAAAATATTTCTAGAGCATAAGTCAAAAATGAAATTATGATGCATGGGCACTTTTGGTTGAATTTTCCCCAAGGCTATTTTGTCCTTTATAAAATGGTTTTGACCCAGCAAGCTAAAAACACAAAATATAGTACAAAAAAATGGAAAATGTTTCCTTATTTTGGTGACTAAGTGCCTGTTTACACCATGTGAAGTGACCTACATTTTGCTGCACTGGATCAATGCAGGTCACTGTGAGGGCACATTGAAACAGTTATCTTTGGGCCCCTTTCACTTAAACAATGCTATGTAGAGGTGCGTTGCATTAAAATGCAGCATGGCTGCATGTAAACGCAATGAAAAGTAAAGAAATGAAAAATAAAATTGCATTTTGACTCTTATATGGACATTTAGCTTCACAACTGATATAAAAATGCATGCTAATGCACATGAGAACGTTACAGTGTATCTAAACCCAAAAACAAAAAAAATGGAATATATCGCAGTCTGCTAGTCTTTTGCTTGGCTGCATTCATATTTTTCAAGCTTCTTTGCTTTATCACCAGATGAAAATAAAGCAAAATAATATACAGCCTGCCCCTGAGGGTCTACATCACTCCTCAGCTGTATCTATGTAGAGAGCCATAATTGTCACCTTAGGCTGCTCTCTTGATATGGAATAGAGACATGTCTGTATCTCTTCATCTCCATTACAAGGAGGGGCAGAGAAAGTGGTAGTTTACAGAAGATGGTTCGCAAGGTAGGTATTTTTTGATACAGCTCATGGGAAATGACAAAGATAATGCATTTTGCCAAAATCAACACGTATTTTCAGTATTCACTGAAAATATCCTTAACTTAAAAAAAAATGCAGTTATCACATGTAGGGACTGTAAGCTACAATATATTGCATTTTTTGTTCTTTGGTTTAGTTATCCTTTAAATGCACATTAACAGCCATGTGTTTTCGATGCATTGTGGTGAGTTATGTGCAGTATGAAGAGAGTCAAAATGCTTGTTTCACCAGTCTTCACTCTCCTACAGAACTAAAAAAGCAAAAGAAATCTTCAGCATCCAACATTTCAGTTGTTTAGCTGCCCATTACCTCCATTACACATTGCTGGGACACAGTAGTGACATAGCGGCCATGGGTGGAAGCACAGCACACAGCAGGTAACTTCAGCCTCCAACACACCTGGAGATGTGGGATGTTGAAGATCCTTCAGCTGGTGTAGCCCTGCAAGAGATTGATAAACTGAGGCACAGGCAGAGGAAAAGATTACATATGACTTTTTTTTTTTACAGGCTGGAGCAAAATGTATTCTTGCTCTGGGTCCCTAACCACACTTACGATGTTAAATGTGGGTTTTATTTTGGGGGATTGGAATAAAATGAAATAGCTACTTTTTTCCTCACTGCTGCAGGCCTCCACTCTTTGTAAAACCAATGCACAAAAACCCATCCAGTCACAGCTGCCCCAAATGGTCCTGCATTGTACAGGAGGCCAACTAGGGCCTGTCCAAAACTCGGGAAAATGTAATATTTAATTTTTCTATTGGTTGTTGAACTGCATGGACTTGGGTCTTTTTTCAACCTAACTACAGTGCTGTATAAAAAGCATTTTTTTTGCATATTTGTCACACTTAAATGATTCAAATCATCAAAAAAATTTTACTATTACACAACGATAACCCAAGTAAACACAAAATGCAGTTTTTAATTGATGATTTCATTTATTATGGGGAAAAAAAGCATCTAAACCTTCCTTGCCTTATGTGAAAAAATAAGTGCACCTTAAACTTAATAACTGGTTGTGTCACCTTTGGCAGCAGTCTTTCACATCGCTTTGGAGGACTTTTGGCCCATTCTTCTTTGCAGAATTGTTTTCCGCCACATTGGAGGGTCTCCAAATACGAACAGCCTGTTTAAGGTCATGACACAGCATCTCAATCAGATTTAAGTCTGGACTTTGACTAGGCCACTCCAAAACCTAATTTTGTTTTGTGGACGTGCTGGTGCATAACCCAAATGAACTTGAGCTTGAGGTCATGAACTGATGGCCGGACATTCTCCTTCAGGATTCTCTGGAAGATCGCAGAATTATGGTTCCATAAATTATGGCAAGTCATCCAGGTCCTGAAGCAGCCCCAAACCACCACACTACCACCACCATGTGTGACTGTTGGTATGATGTTCTTTTTTATGAAATGTGATGTTAGCTTTACACCAGATATAATGGGACGCACACCTTCCAAAAAGTTAAACTTTTTCTTTTTTTTTTTTTTTCGATTGTATTTTTATTGAGAAAGACATTCTTGAATGCACACAATCAATAACTTTTCAGCATAATATACAATTAGGTTTTCATACAATCTGTTAAGTTTTGTATTGATTAACATGAATGTTGAACTGCCTGTATTCTAGTTTACAAACATGTCTTAATAAACATAGTTTCATATATAGAACAGAGTATACAAACAAGAAGCAGAAAGTGTAAAGAAGGTGTAAAGAATTGTTGCCTAGGTAAATATATAGTGTTCCAGAATCCACAAATGGCACAACTATGTTAATAAAAAAAGAAAACAGCTTGTGATCTCTCATAGAATTCAGCCTGTACTCAGTTGAGCATAAGAAGTCGAATATTTGAAAAGAAACCATGGTCTCCATAACGTATTATATTTTTTTGTGCGTTCTGCCACAATTGCTACGGTTTCCTCCATCTCACTGATGTGATCTACTGCGCATAACCAGTCTGGAATTGTGGGCACATAGGTGGTTTTCCAAAATCTGGGTATAATAGCTTTAGCAGCCGTCACTAGATGTCTCACTAGGGATTTCTTGAATTTACTAACTAAATAATTAGAGATGTGTAATAACACTGTGAAGTAAATTTCAATTTGGTTTCTGTGATTTGTGTGATCAGATCAGACTGCTTTCCAGAAAGTGTCCACAAATGAGAAATCCCACCATATGTGCCGTAGAGTGCCCTTGTCTCGACCGCATCACCAGCAGAGGTCAGAAGTGGCAGGGAACCAAGCATGCAATTTGGCTGGCGTAGCAAACCAATTAGTTAGAAGTTTCTTGTAGACTAATTCCAATAGAGAATTTATGAGCCAGAATGCATGCACTGAGCCATTGTTCATTAGTGAACGTCATCTTAAGAGCGGATTCCCATGCCGTGCGAGAACTCATACCTGCTTCCGCTATGGAAGATTGTAGCCAATTATACATCAGTAATGTTGTTTTTTCAGTTTCAAGGCCTTTAAAGCATATACTCTAAAAGAATGTCATAGGTCTAGTGAAATGTCTACGTCTACCAGGGGAGAAGATATAACTGTGGAGTTGCAGATATGCCACATGGAAAAATGTGCTGCAGACATCACCTCTTGTAATTGTCTATAACCGTTTTAATTTACCTCTATATATAACCAGAGTGCAGCGCTAAAAAGAGTAAATGCAAATAAATACGTA